GTCAGTAGAGATGATTGAGTCTTCTGTTGATATTTCTCAGGCAATGACTTCTTCACCCTGTAGTTCAAAGAGGGTAGTATTCAACACTTGTTTTATATTTTTATCCTTTTCCATAAAGGACTAAATAAATAGATAGATAAAAGAAGCTTTAGGATTAATGAGCTCACAAGTCAAAAATGCAAAAGTTCACGGCAATATAGGGAGCAATGCCAAGAAGAGAAGGTCCGAGACCATAGTAAAATGATGCAACTCCTTCCTCCCGTAACATTGTTAATGCAATCTGGACAAATAATCAACCCTTTTCTGTTCATAAATTATTATCTTGTCATAAGAAGTATTCTAGTCATCACTATCAGACCTCAGACATAGTGCGATACCCAGGTTCAACTGCTAAGCGTAATCTCAGGACATCCAAAGGATATGTTACCTGGACAAATGTAAACAGTAAGATGATTTTAAGATACAAATGCATGTGGTACTGAATACACATTACTTTTTCAAAAAGTAATACAAAGAATTAGATGTCTACGCATCACTGTAAAATTTTTAGGAAACAGATTCATACACTTAAGCAAACACATTATCCTTGACATAACCAATTAAATCCCAAAAGGTAGCTATGTAATGAAAATTTTCATTTCAATTTCCACTGATGAATTACTCACAAAAGTAGATGTCATGCCTGCACAAGCACCTGCTGCAAGTCTGCCAATAACTGAGAGTTCACCATCCTTTCCCTTAAACATATTCTACAAATTCACACACAAAAAATAAATAACTAAAAATCAACCAAATGCCTCAAACAATAATAATTCCAAATACTTGTAACACTCTCTCACAACTTGCTTATACACATTTTCACTAGGATTACCTTGTAAGTTTCATAAGCAAAGAGCTGGACGGCACTATAAGGTATGATCCGAATCACCTGAAATTCACCATAAATCCCAAATCGGAAAACAAATCAAATCTTAATTATTCATGAAAGTAAAAAATCGCCAACTACCTGAGGGAGGTTTCCCTTCCAATACCCTTTGATTCCCTCATCTTTCCCTATCATTAATATCGCCTGCAGTTCATTGACCAATAAGCAACCTCATTAAGATAAACAAGGGAGGCAAGACTCTTTCCATGCTCGGCTAATTGAACTACAGCTCCATAATCATAAAAATTCTCGATAAAAAAACTTCAAAGCATAACCCACATTACATTTGCTACACACCTCAATGAAACCAATTGCCTTCTTAGCACTTTCCTTCCCGGCCCGCACTCCATGAATCTACAAACACATCAAATTAATACTGATTAATCTTATTGATAATGTTCCTAATTATCAATTATTAAAACATTTAAAAATAATGCAAAATTTTATTGTACATTTTTTCCGGATCCTACATTTCACTATACTCAAATTCCATTTTCTCAGCAACCAAACAGCAACACTAACGACACCGTTCGCAACAAAATAAAAATATCACCACGAAAAACACGTGATAAAATCCGAAAGCAGAGAAACTTAAAAAGAACACCTGCATGAGTAGCTTAATACGGTCAAGCGGAGCGGTGACGGTCTTCGCGGCGGCACCAGCGACAGCTCCAGCGGCAAAAATCGCAGCATCTCTCGGGACAAAAGCCAGTATTGCTAACGGATGCTTCAATAGCTGAGCCGTACTCGGCGCGAACTCATTTCCTTTATCTTTCTTATTCTCTGCCATTGAGACTGAAGCAAAATTACTAAAACTGCCATTGCTTCCATCACTCCGGATTCTGCAACTGAATTGCGCGTTTCTCCACAGAGGTTCGCGGTGGTGCGTGGTTTCCGTGAGAGAGCAGTGTGTAGTTTTTAGGTTTGGTAACGTCTGGAAGCAGAGAATGGCCCTCTCTTTGTCTGTCATGGTATGATTTGGTGATTTTGAGAGTTTGTTAGGGGTAGAGAAGGGATAAGGTAGAAACTGTAAAGGTTGTTGCAGAGAGGGAGGAGCAAACTAAAAAGAGGGATTTCTTGGGATTTTAAGCAAGTGACTTTGTTTTATTAATGATTTACAGGCTATTTGAAATAATTTCTGTATTATAAAATTAATTCAATTCTAATATTTAATTTGAATTTAATTAATAAATCAATTAATTATAAAACTAAAATAAATTCATTTTATTTTTAAGATTTAAAAATTTATTTGATAATAATAAAAACATTATTATTTTTAAAATATTTCAACAAGTAATTTCCTTTTTTATTTATTTTAATCTAAACAAAAATAGTTTATATATTTAATATGCAGACTTATATTGTATTTGAATCTCTAATATAATTTTGAATATATTCTTATAAGCATGTAAGTTTTTAGTTTTGAGCACAAGCTTGTCATGCTTATAATTAAAATAAGTATGAAATCTAATTTTTTTTAAATAACTTCTTTTAATATATTTTTAGAATAATAAACTAAATAATCCATGCTCCCGAGTCCAATATTTTTTATTTTTAATACAAGTTCGACCATTATACTTGTCATCACGGTGCAAGGGCATCGACGAAATCAAGATTTTGTCCTATTGGAAGGGAAAGATGCCATGGAATTCATAACTGCAATGAGTTGACAAAACGGAACCTTTTCATTTTGTATTCCTTAATCAATAAGTCTAGCGATGCTTGTTTCAGCATTTTAAAATTTTTAAAAAATAATTTTATTTATTTATTACAAATTAATATATTTTTAATATTTTAAAATTATTTTTATGTATTAATATCAAAAATAATTTTTATAAAATAAAAAAAACATTAACATATATTTTAATATAAAAAAATTATTTAAAAAACAGGGCCCACAATACTTTTTTAAAAAATAAAATCATCACCTTAAACAACTAAAATTCCCATAACTAAAGATTTTTTTTCTTAATTCACTCAAAAAGATAATTATCTTTCAATCCTGGAAACTTTATTATTATTATTATTATTATTATTATTCCTATCTAAAACTAAAAGAATAACATTCACATTTAAATTATAAATGTTTCTAGTGTTAACTAAATGATAATATTAATACTCTGATAAATTTTTCTAGACTCAAAGAAAAAATATAAAAATTCAGCAACTGGTCCAGCCCAGCGCGTAACCCACTGTAGCAGGCCAGACATGCCTGGCTGTGTCCTTAGTTTTTTGAAAAAAAAAAGAAAAAAAGACAAATAAC